TGCTGCTTGGCTTCTTTTTAGGGCTTTTTTTTTTTTTTTTTTTTTTTTTTTTTCCCCTGTGGCTCTGTTCCCCTCATAAAATTGAGCGCTCTGCCATCGGGTTGTCATCGTCTTTAGATTTGAGAAGACCTTTTGTGGTGGTTTTTCACCTCTTGTTGTTGTAAGCAAGGATCTTGCAGGCTTACTGGAGCCCTAGGTTTAGCGCTGCCTGGGCTGAGCTGTAAACAATCTGGTAAATAATAACTTACAAATACTAAGTGTCCAATAATGCCAGACTGCTAATAGCCCCCTGTTAAAATCCACTTTGGGGTCTTTTAAAATTTCTTAAGAGGTAAATGCCTCCGTAATGAACATTGTAGTGTTAGATTGGCCCTGTGCTTGAGGCTTTTATTTAAATGCAAATTGAGTCCTCCCACAGGAAAGCTAACAGGAGATTAAAATAGCTGGTAGGGGATGGGAATTTGCTTTTATGAAGAGTCATTTGACTTAACTTCTTGTTGATTTCCTCGTTTTTCTTATTTCATGGCTAGAGCTGCTTGAAAATAGTCTCCTATCTAGACCAGTATCAGCCATCGGCAAGAGAAAACCTTGTGTGGATCAATGCAGGGCTGAACTTGCAGTCGATACTTAGGAGCCTTTTACAAGCCAGAACTGAACTCGAAACCTCCTCAGGCCAGCTCTGGAGCCTGTCACCCTCCCCTGGCTGGCCCATGCTGCTGGGAACTGGCAACCAGAGGAGCGAGTCCCTCTGGGATGGAAGAGCCCCGTGCTTTCAGCTCTGGAAGCTGCAGGTTCAAAAGCGGCTTGAGCGCTCAAGCGCGGTTGTTGGTGCTGTGAGCACCATGCGTGGTCGCAGCTCCGTGTCGGCGGGGAAAGCTGTACGAGCGCGACACACAGCAGCAAAAATCCATGGGTGTCGTGGATTTTCAGAGGTGAGGGAGATTCCTGAAGGTGTTTAGAAATATCTGCTGGGTTGAACTGCGGGTGCATCTCTGGCAAGGAGCTTTGGGACTTGATGGAAGGTGCCTTAAAGAAGGGCTTTCTCTTTTGGTCTTTTGTTCAGAAATGATTCTTCCAGATTCCAAGTTATTCTGCATCACCTGTAAGAAAAGAATTGAGAAGTGGGTCAGGGAAGCAAAAGCCCGGAAAGACTGGGAGGCAGGGAAACATCTGCTCCTGGTAAGACCGTGACAGCTGTGGCCCAAGGGGCTGTACACGCTGCACCCAAGACCGCAGAAGAAAGCGTTTTCTTTTAGATACCT